ACAACAAAGGGCAATAACATAAACAAAAACGCAACTACAACCAACTAGAACAACATCAAATAAGAAAGACATGCTAAATGTCCAGAAATGTCCAGATTGTAGGTAAATGGCAAATTACCGAGACTGGTCCAATAGCTGTCCTATCCTGAAGATTCTAACTTTAATATCTAAAATGTTCTTAGCTAAGATATGAGAGGACTATAATTGTAACTATCTCCATCAAACTGTAACTCCATCGAAGACCTGAGAAGGAACATAATAATACCTAAGAAAACAGAAAATGCAAGCAAGCGATTTCTGAAATTCTTCTGAGAATAGGCAGAGACAGCTGGCAGCCTAGACAGTCACCTAAAGTTTCTCAGCATTGTTGGGGCATCCAATTTGGCTACAGGCCTAGAGTATCTGACAGACCATTTTCAGAAGCAGGAATTTTGAAAGACCATCTTACCCTGTCTTGGCAGAGTTCAGTAGTCACTTTTCCTTGTGTCCTGTTCATTCAGAAAGGACAGCGTTCATTCTGTCAGCAGTTGAGGCAAAGGCAGTTCTTTGTCCAGTAGGCCATTTTGTGCCAAGAAGAAAACAAACTTCCAAACGGAAATGTCTTAGAATCCCAACATTCTCTCAGAATCAGATCGGTGCTGCCAGGAGCAATCGTGTCTCACATCAATAGAATTCTAAGTTATCAAAACATTTAAATGCCATATTCTCTAGGCCTATGAAGTGTTTGAAGATTACCTATCCATCTGACATATGTTTCTGTAAATCTGGACAATCTAACTAACATAACTATAGAAATGACAAGCATGGGTGACGATAGTTCTGCAAGTCTTATCTACCTAAATAATCTAAAGATTAAGGCTACACATTAACAAGGTCTATAAGCAGATGTACTCTATAAGGACAATGATCTCAAAATTGTGACAATACACAAAATATCTTAAACAGAAGTAGAAATGTATAGTGCAATATGCAATATGACAGCAATATCCTTAATATGTATCAATATACAAAATATCCTAAACAGAGGTAGAATGTACATATAGTATGACAAATATAATTTTGCATTTTATCAATAGACAAAATATTTCAAACAGAAGTAGAAATATGTGTACAATACAATTAGTTTTGTATATGTATCACTATACAAATTATCTTAAGTAGGAATATAAAAATAGTTTATATTTGAATCAATATACAACAATCTATATCTGTGCAAATTATTTAAGACTGATTGCTAAATTAGTTTACTAGTAGATACAATAATTTACCTTAATATACTATACCTATCCATTCCCCTTTTTTCTTTTCCAAAAAAGAATCCTGAGTCTAAGTTTTATTGTCCTCCACCCAACCCTATAACTATCCATCCATAACCCTGAGAAAAATGAAAACTTTGGGAGAGGAGCATCATTTTTTAAGAATTGCGTCCTGCTGTTTAGGGGTGATGGTATCTCTTTAGGGTCCTATAAGAAAGCTAAGATAGTTGGGTCTCAATAGGACTAGTTGTAGAGTCTGTAGCCAGTCTCAGATGAACTTTTCCAATAAGTGAGACAATCCTTCAAATTTCCTACTTCACTAAAATGTCTGCCAGAGACTTTAGACCTGTAGGCTGAAGATAGATGCCCCAATGTTACAGAGGATGACTGTCCAGTCAGCCATCTATCTCTGTCATTTCTGGAATTATGGAAGTTGCTTGCAATGCACTTCCTGTTTACTTAGGTACTATTATATCCTTCTGGGGTCTTCGATGTAGTTAAAGACTAGATAGTTATAATTTTCCTTGGTTATGATAAAAGATAAATTAGACATGAAACTTTAGACCCACAAATATAGGATAGATGATAGAATATTTTCTTTAATTTTGTCAAATACAAATAGACTAGATATTTTAACTGTAATTCTCACTTGATAACTGTTCTATTTTATGTAATTTTACTATTTTAAAGTTAAAGCCTTCCTTTTTGATTAGATAGTAAAGGGGATGTCTTTCTGTATGCTGTGAATATGTGTTTCTCTGATTGGTTGATATATATAAAGCTGCACTAGCCTATGGCAGGGCACGATAAGTTTAGACAGGACATTTGACCTGAGGATGAGACAAAGAAGGGTGGAGTCTGGGAAGAGGCTAAAAGCCACCACCAGGAGAAGCAAGATGTGAAAGTACCAGCAAGCCATGAAGCCATGTAGCAATACATAGGTTAATAAAAATGGGCTGAGTTAAGTTTTAAGAGCTAGCTAGCAAGAAGCCTGAGCCAATAGGCCATAGAATTAGTAATTAATATAACCCTCCGTGTAATTATTTTATAAATGGCTGCAGGACTGTGGGGCCAGGCCAGACCAGAGAAACACAGGACCATGGGCTGGGTGGGATCGGAGAAACTTACAGCTACCGTCAAGGCTGCTACACGGTACACTTAAATCTGGAGAGCCTAGAAGAGCTCAGTGGATAATCTGGCTACAGATCTTGAATTCCTAATCCTCCTGCCTCTGCCTCCTGAGTGCTAGGACTATAGGCGTGCGCCAATATACCTAGCTTTGGGCTATAAATTTAAGTGGGGCAATTCAGAACACACTTATCTATTGTCTTAGTTAGGGGTTCTGTTGCTGCGAAGAGACACTATGACTACAGCAACTCTTATAAAGGAAAATATTTCATTGAAGCTTGTCTACAGTTCAGAGGTTTAGTCCATTATCATCATGGAGGGACATGGTAGCATACAGGTAAACATGTTTCTGGAGAAGGAGCTAAGAATTCTACATCTCGATCCACAGGCAACAGGAAGTGAACTGTGTCACTGGGCATAGCTTGATCTTAGGAGACCTCAAAGCCCACCCCCACAATGACTCACTTCCTCCAACAAGGCCATACCTATGCCAACAAAGTTACACCTCCTAATAGTGTCACTCCCTTTAGGGGCCATTTTATTTCAAACTACCACACCTATTATTTTTAAAAATAAAACAATGACCCCATTACATATTCACATAAACGATATGTCTTTGTAAAAAATATTTTCCAAAACTTGAAATTACATTGCTTAAACTTTTTGTGACTCTCTTCAGACAGCTGGAATCTTGTATCTGTCCCTTCAACCCATCTTCTGGGAGATGTTACTTCCTTTTAAGTTGGTAAAGCCAATTCAGTCTCATACATAGCTGTAACTGGAAAATGGAGGAGGATTTAAATACTCTTTTCAGATAATTACGGCTATTTTTCCTGTGGTGTTATATCAAAACTCAGTAAATGCTAATTTCTGAACTGTTTGTAGCACACAAACAAACAATTAAAAAAATCCTATTGTGTACTTTGCCTTTTGAACTGAGTCAAATTCCATTCAGGATATTGTCATGCCATGCCCGGGTACCTTGGGTATTGAGTTGTCCAAACTTTCCAGATGGTGACACATTAACAATGCAGTATCATGCAGCTGGAGTGATAGTTAAATGATTAGGAACCTGTACTGCTCTTCCAGAAAACCTGAGTTTTGTTCCCAGCACCCACTTCAGGCATCTCACAACCACCTGGAACTCCAGCTCCAGAAGATCTGATGCCTCTACCCTCCTGCACACATGAGTACATACCCCCACCACATACACAATATTTTAAATAGTTGAGTAAATCTTTAAAGAAAGAATTGCATTCATTAACCTTATCATCAAGCTCAGCTCACAGGTCTCTAGTGCCTGTGAGCTGCCAGGTTTCCAATGGTGGATTCGAATGTTCCAGAATTTTGCTATGGATGAAAAATATTGGCAGCTGTTTTCCTAGAAGGTTTGCTTCACTCATTTGAAAGAAAATATCTGCTTTACATGCAAGGCGAAGAATGGTAGTTTATCTGTCCATAATTCTTTCAAGAAAAAATTGTTATTCATTTAATATATTTCCAGTTCTTGCTGGGTGGTGGTGCCTGCCTTTAATACCAGGATTTGGGAGGCAGAGGTAGGCAGATCTCTGTGAGTTCAAGGCCAGCCTGGTCGGCAGAGCAAGTTCCAGGACAGCCAAGGCTACACAGAGAATCCTTGTCTAGAAAAAAAGCAAACTAAACGAAAATCAAAACTGAAAACCTTCCAGTTCTAGTTAACATAGACATAATTATGATTATGTAAATAGAATTCCTCAACATAAGCATCTTCCCTTATTATCAGAAGGACGGTGCAAATGTGGGTGCAAATGTGTACCTCCAACATGAGTGTTAACAGTGTAAAAAACAAGTATTACCTTAATATTGTTGCAGAAAGACTTTGACCCCAAGGAAATTCGCTGAAAGGGGCTAGGCCTACTAAGGGTCAATGGCCATTTGTGTGTGTGCATATGTGTTACGTGTGTACACGAACTCATTCATGTGTACACAGGTGCAGAACTCTGTGTGTGTATATGTATTTGTGTGTGTGTGTGTGTTTGTGTGTGTGTGTTTGAGCACACTTGTGTCAATTTGTTTACATGTGCATTGGGGTGAAGAATTAATGTCCCCATGGCTTTCTTTTAATTTGCTTGGATATATATATATATTATATATATATATTTGAGAAAGGGTCTCACTGTGTAGCTCTGGCTGCCTTGAACTCACAAAGCTCCACCTTCCTCAAGATTAAAGGCTGCACCATCACACTTGACTCAGTGCCCCTGCTTTTTAAGTGTCATGGGCCTTTTCTTTTTCTTAAGGATTTATTTATTTTTATTTTATGTATATTAGTGTTTGCCTGCTTGTATGTATGTGCATCACATGTGTACCTGGTGCCTATGGAGGCCAGAAGGGGGTGTCTTATTGCTTGAAAATGGAGTTGCAGCCCTGTGAGGCACTACCTGAATCCTGGGAACCAAAGCAGGTTCTCTGCAAGGGCGGCCAGTGCTCTTAATGGCTGAGCCATCTCTCCAGCTGGAGAGACGACTGCAAGCCTCTTTCTAGGTGTCAGGAAACAGGCACCCTAGCTCTACACCTCAGCCTTCTCTGAGAACAGGACAAACAGCAATCTGTCTCCTTCTCTAAGGCAAACAACTCTTTAAGCGAGGACACTGAGCTTACCGACCTAGGAGGCAATCGCGTACTGAAATCTGGAGGGGGAAAACAGGAGGCTAGACTGTTAGATAAGTGCCTCGCTTGGGACACTTGTGCACAACACCCATTGGAAACCGAGATGCCGCTCGGGGCTTCAAAATCACCTCCAGGTGGGGGCATGGGTACTGGAGGAAGGCTTTAGGAAAGTTGACTAGTAACCTGGATCCCGGCCACTGACCAATTGGTAAAGAGCGACTGGACCTTGGACAGCCACCAAGCTGCGTGCTGGTGTAGGCGGCAGCACCGTGGACAGCGCCAAGCACCGCCGCTCCGGGAGCCAGGGGCGGGGAGAGAGGCGGCTTCATCAGCTGATGCCTTACGTAGCGCTGGATCCCCACTTTGCTAAGGCAGGTCCGGGTGGGCGCGCCAGCGTGCGTTTTCGGAGTAGCTACCCCAGGCATGGTGGAGAGAGGCCAGCGCAGGGCAGAAGACCATCTCTAGAAAGCAGGTACCTGCGTGGCTTCTTCAGGTTCCGGCTGTTCCCCAGGGCGCCACTGCCCGGAGAAGAGGGGTGGGGGAGCGGGCAGGGAGCAATCCTGGACCAGCGACTGTTCTGACGCACCAGCTGGGTTCCAGGAATCCACCGGCAGAGACGATCCCAAGGATGCTCTGCTGCGGGCGACCAGACAGCGGTCTCCGCCGAGGTGAGGAAACGCAGGCATGTGATAGATTAGGCGGGCCCTGGCTTCCAGACTCAGCCCCTTGAGTCGGCTTTCCAAATCCCTAAGGATACCGAGACTGCGCGGTTTGCAGCCTAGCTCCTCTCTGCCACGGTCTCCTCCAGACTCTCACTGTTTGGAGATTGGGGCCAGGGTCCACAGCCCTTGGCAGAAACCTCTCCACTAGTCAGTGGTCGCAAACATCTCTAGATTGACTCCCGTGGGCTCGGTGGCTACACTGAATCTGAACGCAGGTGTCCTGGACCAGCGATGGATCTGCCTGTAAACTTGACCTCCTTTTCCCTCTCCACTCCCTCTTCTTTGGAACCCAATCGCAGCCTGGGTGCGGAAGACCTGCGCCCTAGTCGGCCCTTTCTCTCAGTTTTCCGAGTGCTAGTTCTGACCTTGCTAGGTTTTTTAGCCGCGGCCACATTTGCTTGGAACCTGCTGGTGCTGGCCACCATCCTCAGGGTACGCACCTTCCACCGCGTCCCACACAACCTGGTGGCGTCTATGGCCATCTCGGATGTGCTGGTGGCTGCGCTGGTCATGCCACTGAGTCTGGTGCACGAACTGTCCGGGCGCCGCTGGCAGCTGGGCCGGCGGCTGTGCCAGCTGTGGATAGCGTGTGACGTGCTCTGCTGCACAGCCAGCATCTGGAATGTGACAGCCATAGCCCTGGACCGCTACTGGTCGATCACACGCCACCTGGAGTACACACTCCGTGCCCGCAAGCGCGTCTCCAACGTGATGATCGTGCTCACCTGGGCACTCTCTGCGGTCATCTCTCTGACCCCGCTACTCTTCGGCTGGGGGGAGACGTACTCTGAGCTCAGCGAGGAGTGCCAGGTCAGTCGCGAGCCTTCCTACACCGTGTTCTCTACCGTGGGCGCCTTCTACCTGCCGCTGTGCGTGGTGCTCTTCGTGTACTGGAAGATTTACAAGGCCGCGAAGTTCCGCGTGGGCTCCAGGAAGACCAACAGCGTCTCCCCCGTTCCCGAAGCTGTGGAGGTGGGTGCTACAAGGATCGCTAAAAATACTTCACTTGCATCTGCAAAGGCTTTCTTCTCAGCAGACCTCCCCCGAAGTCTATGGAAGGTGAAACTCTCCAGTTTAGGAAGACGTAGGCAAGGGAGGGCGCAAGCGCCAGAGACTACCTTTGCTTTAAGCTCTGAATTACAGAGTCCCTCCCATGCTGAGTGTCTGGTGGGTTGTTTTCTTATGTGGGAAATGTAGGGTTTGTGATCATATCCTATCGGGTCCACTTTGGCACTAAAGCTCTGTGGGTGGGCAGCATCCCTTATAGAACATCTGGTGAAGCTGGTGTCTGGGGGACACTGGCTCAGTACCCCGGGAGGGGAGGGGAACGAAATGAAAAAAAAAAAAAACCTGCCTTTTTCTGCATTAGTAGTGAGGGAGGGTCCGAGGAGGGAAGATTAGAATGATTGACAGGATGATTGCCACATAGCAGGCACATCGGTTGTGTTCTAGGCTATTTTGCAAATTATTATTTCTAGGTTGTCATTTATCATTCTTCAGTGTCCTGTCTAATCACCCCCCCCCCAAGATTAAAGACAACTGTTTACTGTCATCTTGGTCCCTGCGTTCGGTGTCTGCTTTCCTTGCTTATGGTTTGGACCACTGCCTTCTGGGCCTATTTACTGCAGCCCCATCAGACCATGGGCACCACTGAGGATCACCTGGCCAAGCTGCCTTCCCTTTGAGTAATATGCAGGAAGAAATTCAAGTTTCAGAACAGATAGCTCCCCCAGCTACCTATGGCTGACATCTGAAGCAGACAATCTCTACAAGGAAGTCCAGTTTCCATCCTCTGCCACCCACAATTCCCTGTCTGCCTCTCCTTAACTCCTGGAAATCTGACTTGGTGATTCAGTGTTCTCAAGCTCCAGGAAAAGGAGCCAGCTCCCTACCCATTGCTGAGGGCCTCACTTACGGACTGAAGTTAGATCAGACAAGAATACAGTCCCGGTTTTCTGTTGCCGGGCTCTGGGACAGCAGAATACTTTAACTGAATGTACTGAGAGTGTTGTACTGGCTTGATGTAAAGGTAAGCCTAAGTAAATGGTGGTTCTTTGTGAAGACCTTGTCAGCGTGGCTGCATTCCTAGTCATCCAAGCTTAGGGCTCAATAGGTGGAGGAGGCAGGGGAAGGGGCAAAGGGAGACATGGCTCCCTGGTCCTCCATCTAGAGCAGTGGTCCTCCACCAAGGACGATGTCTGGACGGCCTGGTGATTCCTAATAGCACAGGATGGCCCCACAACAAAGAATTTTGAGGACCAGAATTCACTGAACTGAATTTTGGAAACTCTACTGTATCCATCCACCAGAGAGCCCAGAGCTAGGTTCTAAAGAGCCTTAGGCAACTAAAGCTTGGGTTCCACCTCTGTTCCCCTGGTAACAGAATGCTTTGCTCTTCCTTGGAATTTAAATTACCATTTTAAAAAAAAAGGTGAAGGTTGTTCTGTCTCTAGCCTGAGTGGAGACCTGGCATTTCAAGCAGCCAAAAAGGAGGTGGAAGGGATAAATTGCCCCTAATGAGACAGTGTACTTTTCCTTTCCAGAGGCCTCTTCTCTGGCGCAGTCCCTTTCAGAATCCGCCTGCTGTAACTTGCCCCGTTTTCTTCTTTTTATCTATTTCTCTTTCTTTCAGACACTGGCCCAAGGCCCAGGGTGCTTTCCCTGGTTCTCCGGGCTGTCCCGCGTCCTCTCTGAACTCCCTCTCTTCTCCCTGGGGCCGCCTGCTGACCGCCATTGCGAACAGCATGACGCTCTCTCTCCCTCTTCCCCATTTCCCATCCATTGGCAGCTGCGGAGACTCACAGCTTCCCCGCCCTGTTGTTTTTCTCTTAAACTCCAATAAAATTGTCCCCAACTTCCTTTCTAGTCTGCTTCTAAATTCTTTTATGAATGAGTGATGAGACTGACAGTCTAAAAGGTGAGCCTCAGTTTCCCCAGGAACACACCCAGACACCAATTACAAACCCCTTTGGGCGTTCTTGGTCTCGTTAATAAAATAACTTAGGAATAGACTCAAATGGAAACACAAGACAAGTCTCGCCTTAAAACCCAGCTGCTGCCCAGAGACAGAGGAGAGGAAGGGGAAAGCCACTCAGTTTAAGCCTGTTGTAGAGGTCGGACGAAAGGTGGACAGGAGGCCGTGGGGTGGGGAGGAGGCTTTAGGAAGAGTAAGGAAGTCCAAAATGTTGGGGGAGGGAGCCCAACGTCTTAAGGAAAGCACGCTTAGAAAAGAGACAGAAGGGAGAAGAGAAGAAGGTACACTTAGGAAAGGAGCAGGCAAAACAATGTGGTTGCAGCCTGGTAAGCTGCTGTGTGGGACTCGGGGAAGAAAATCTCAGTACCTCATTAAAGGACTGATTATTTCACCTACCTCTGCAGCATGGCTTAAGGAAGCCTCAGTTCCTAGGGGTGGTTTCTTGGCCAAGTGAATGATCCTGCTCAACTGAATGTTAGGTCTCCATTCAGGCCAGAGACTCCAGTCTCTTGATCACTTTTTTCCCCCTACTCTAACAACAGGGAGATGCTGGGTAGGTCCATTAGTGATTGGGGGTTGGGGCTCATGACAAGTAGTGACAGAAGACTACCAGTCAAAGGAACAAAGCTTTGATTACTGAACTGAGGCTGAGGAGCATGGCTCAGTCAGTATGTACTTTTTTTTTTTTATTTAAAAACATGTCTTGGGGAACTGGAGGGATGGCTCAGTTGTTAAGAGCATCCACAGTTCTTCAACCTCGGTGGGATTTTCAGCACCCGCATCTGTAACTCCAGTTCCAGGGGATCAAATGCCCTCTTCTGGCCTCTGGGGGCACTGCATGCACATGGTACACAGACATAGACGGAGGCAAAACACTCAGATATTAAAATAATTAAAAACAAGCATTTTGCAAGTGCCCGTGGAGGCCAGAGGAGGGTGCCGGGTCCCCTCCAGCTCTCTGTGGACTGATCTTCTCTTCTCCTTCCTAGTGCAGGGACTAGAGGTGTAACTCACCATACCCAGTTTATTTGGTGCTCAAGATTGTATCTGGGGCTTGCGCATGCTGTAAGCATGCTACCAACTGAACTAAATCCCTAGCCTCAGTACATTTTTTAAAATTTTATATGTACAGGTGTTTGTCTATATGTGTATCTGTGCACCACATGTGTGCCTGGTGTGTGCGGAGGCTAGAAAAGGGTGTTGGATCCCCTAGAACTGAAGGTGGAAATGGTTGCGAGCTGCTTTGTGGACACTGAGATTTAACCTGGGTCCTCTGGAAAAGGATCCAGTGCTTTTAACCACTGAGCTATCTCTCCAGCCCCCTTGGCACACTGTTATCAGTGTAAAAGGACAGGTTTCTGGGGACTCGGATGCAGCTGTGAGAGTGCATTGGGCTGCAGTTCCTCCTGCTTGTGGGGCGTCTCCAGGGACTCCAGGCCCCTCACTGTCTTTTCAGTAATGCTCTGGTCTCTAGTGTAAGCGTTCTTAGCTACAGTCTCATCACCAGTGGCAGCACAGTTCCTTTGGAAACAGCCAATGCTCACTGAACTCTAGGAGAGTCACAGATGGAAGGGGCTGTCTTCTCACCACCGGAATCCATGTTCTCTCAGACCTTTGAGAAATGTGCTGCACAGCCACAGATTGGTCTTTCATTTGCTCTTTATCACCCGGCACAAACGAATCATTTTGTCTATCTGTTATTTGTTTATGGTAGGGTCTTCCTATATAACACAGGCTAGCCTGGAATTCCTTTTTTTTTTTTTTTTTGGTTTTTCGAGACAGGGTTTCTCTGTGTAGCTTTGCGCCTTTCCTGGAGCTCACTTGGTAGCCCAGGCTGGCCTCGAACTCACAGAGATCCGCCTGGCTCTGCCTCCCGAGTGCTGGGATTAAAGGCGTGCGCCACCACCGCCCGGCTTGGAATTCCTTATGTAGCCCAGGTTGGCCTTAACCTTGAAAATCTTTCTTCCTTAGCCTCCAAAATAGATTACAGCACCTGCTATGCCCAGCAACAAAGTATTTTGTTAAAGAAAAATTTCCTTAGCTTTACTATTTTAAATTTACTGCAAACCAGGTTACCTTTGCCTTTCAGATGTCTTGTTTTTTCATTGTTTTACATTTTGTGTGTGTGTGCCTCCATGCACACATGTAAATCAGAAGACAAATGGTTGGAGTTGGTTCTCTGTTTCCAACCAGTGCATTCCAGGGCTCAGACTTAGGTCATCAAGGTTGGCGGGAAATGTCTTTATCTGTTGAGCCAACCAGCCATTCTCAGGTAATTTTTATTTCATTTATTTTTAATTATTTTATTTTATGTGTTATAGGTGTTTTGCCTGCATATATGTATGTATACTATGTGTGTTCCCAGTACATGCAAAGTCCAGAAGAGAGTGTTGAATTCCCTGGAATTGGAGTTACAAATAGTATTGGTCTGCTATATGGGCTGGAATCAAACCCAGGTCATTTGGTTGAGCAGTTGAGCAGTGGTTTTATAATATATGTATGTTTTATTTTGTTTTTGAGACAGGGTCTCTCTATGTATCCCTGGCTGTCCTGGAACTCACTGTGTAGACCAGGCAGGCCTCAAATTTGGAGACCTGCCTGCCTCTGCCTCCTCAGGGCTGGGATAAAAGGGGCGGAGCCACCACACCTAGCTGAGCAGCTAATGCTCTTAACTGCTGAGCCGGCTCTCCAGCCCACCCCCAAGTAACTTTTAAATTATATACCAAATGAGTTAACTTTCTATAGTGTGAGGGTTAAAGGTAGCTTTAACTCAGTACAAGCAGGGCATCCACAGTGTAGGTAGATGTCCTCTGAAGTTAGAAGGATGGGAACTTAGTGGGTGATTATGTCCCCTTTGGAATGACTTTAGTGAGCAGATTTTGGATAGTGACTTTGTTTATCAGTTAATATGAGATATTGATTTTATTTATTTATTTATTTATTTATTTATTCATTTATTCATTTATTTTTTGAGACAGGGTTTCTTTGTGTAACAGTCCTAGCTGTCCTGGAACTTTCTTTGTAGACCAGGCTGGCCTTGAACTCACAGAGATTCACCTGCCTTTACTTCCCAAGTGCTGGTATTAAAGACATACACCACCACCACCTGGCAATTATTTTTATTTTTAATGTTTTATTAATTAATCAATTAAATTTTCCCAGCCCAATCACAGTTTCTCCTCCTTCCCTCCCTCCTCCCCTCCCAGTCCCTCTCCCAAGCTCCCCAATCCACTCCCTCTCTCTTCCCTTCAGAAAAAGACAGGCCTCCCATGGATACCAGCCATCCCTGCCATATCCAGTTGCAGCAAGACTACACACCTCCTTTCCTAGTAAGGCTGGATGGAGCAACCCAGCAGGAGGAAAGGGTCTTAATAGCAGGAAAAAGAGTCAGAGACAGTCTCTGCTCCTTCTGCCAGGAGTCCCACTATCTGGGACTATGGGGGTCCAGCCCCTCAATAATCCCCTCCCAGGGTCCAGAAAGAATCTACAACCAGCTGATAATTAATCTTTGATGATATAAAATGAATCTAGGTACATGAAACTCCTTGGTCCATACACTTTATTATTCTGTGCCAGTTCTCTCTCTACACAGCTTCTATTCTGCTCTCGTGCCTAGCTCCTTTCTTGCCTGATTTCTCTCTACATTTATCTGCTGTCCCCTCTAAGTTCTAACTTAATTCTCTCATCTTAGTTCTGCCCCATCAGGGTTCTCATCCATCTAGTTCTTTCCCATCTTAGCTCCTCTCCCATCTCCTTCTCTCTCATCTTGTTCTTCCCCATCTGGCTCTTCCTCACCTTCCATCTTGTTCCTCTGGTACTCTCTTCTAGCCCTTCAGTCTAGTTCTTCCCCATCTCAGTTTGTTCCTCTCCAGTTCTTACCCATCTAGTTCTTCCATTCTCTTTTTTCCCATCTCTCTCTTCCTCTCAGTCTCCTTATTCTCTCAGTTCTCCCTGAGTCTCTCAGAAATCCAGTTATAAACCCAAGCAATAGCAATCCTCTGGCAGAGCAAGGTCACCAGGCTTGAATTCTTACAGGGTCATAAAGGCAGATAAGAATTTTCCCCAGACAGTGACTACCAGGCTTTCTTTTACAACCCAAAATCAGAGTAGTAAAGGAGGAGGCCAACTAAGAACTAATGATCGGTTAGTATATCAAAAAGGGAATTTATGTGCTCAATCTACATTCCTAGAAGTGGTTAGGTAAGAAGTTAGGAGTCTTTGATGTTAGTAATAGAAAAGGAGAGTCGCTAGGCAATGGTGGTGCATGCCTTTAATCCCAGCACTCGGGAGGCAGAGCCAGGCGGATCTCTATGAGTTCGAGGCCAGCCTCGGCTACCAAGTGAGAGTGAGTTCCAGCAAAGGCGCAAAGCTACACAGAGAAACCCTGTCT